GAAAATCCTTTTGGTGAACAATATTTTTTTCCTGCCTTTTTAATATTTCCTTCTCTGGGTTAACTTCCCACAACAGCAGGAAAGTTTGGAACCCAATTAGAAAACCAGAAAATGAGCAGGCAAAATGGAAGAGCGCTAAAATGCAGCAGCCAATCAAGTAGCAACCAAAGTACTCCAAAATGGCAAACCTCCAAACACATTTTAAGGGAGGGAGGGAGAGAGAGAGAGAGAGAGAGAGAGAGAGAGAGAGAGAGACAGCAGGAACATCAAGAGGAGGAGCATTTTAAACATGTTTTTATAATGATGCAGTTAGAAAACAAAATTAAAATATGAAATCTGGTGAAGCTATTGGCGATGTTCAAATTGAGCATATAAAACTTTTTGGAATGGGCATTAGACAGATCAAACACCTAATAAGATAAGATAACCTTTATTGTCATTTTTTACTGCGGTCACCACTGGCACACATTAAAAATGAAATTCTGTTGCCTGCTCTCAAAAGAAAGTATATATCTACCCATACAGATAGATAACACACCTATACACGTGCTATGCACACACACACACACACACACACACACACACACACACATCCATCTGTCTGTCTATCTATCTCCATATCCATATTAATCACTGTCCATTTTGAATACATAGTGCAGTGATGGCGAACCTTTTAGAGACCGAGTGGCCAAACTGCAACCCAAAACCCATTTATGCATCGTCGAGTGTGGCCCATTGGCTGGGTGTGGCCCATAGGCTGGTTGTGGCCCATTGGGTGGGCGTGGCTGCGGTGGTAACGGCAGACTGGGTGGGACTAAAAAGTTCAATCAATGAATTCCAACTTTGCAAGATCTTTTTTTCCCCGCGAGGTTGAAATTGACTGATTGATTGAACCTTTTTTTTTTTGCACACGGCAGCGGAGGCCTAAAGCGAAAAGGTTTTATAAAACCCAGCTGAAGGCCTAGGACTGGAGCGACGGCGCACGTGCCCACAGAGAGGGCTCTGAGTGCCACCTCTGGCACCTGTGTCATAGGTTCGCCACCACTGACATAGTGGAAAGAGGAAACTTGAGAGTTCACAAAGTTGATGCTATATGGAACAAAACTGTGACTGAATCTGGATGTTCTGCTTCAGATACCACAAAGCCTCCTCCCAGAAGGAACAAGGAAAGCAGGTCGTAAAGAGGATGTGTACCTTATGCAAGTAACCATGTATTACAGCATACTAAAACCAGAGATATGTCTTTTAGATCTAAAAAGGTTTCAGTCAGTATGCCACAGTTAAAAACTTTACAAGCATGCAATCTTCAACTACGTTTTATCCATAACAGAAGAGTGACTCAAGGTTGGACAGGTTTTGGCCGGGAAAGTCATCCACGGTCCAAATGCTGAACCTCATCACATTGAAGATGGTATGAGAGACACTAAATCACAGCATGGTGTTTATGTAATCCTCAGAGGCTTAAGACATTGCCATGGTACAGAAATACTAAAAATTCTCAGTAGCTTCCTCTTCCTAAAGGAAATGATGTGTAATTACTATACAACTGAAACTTCCACTCCACCAAAGGATGAGATGAGCAGTGTGATATAGTTTTTTGTGTGTTTAAAAAAAGTTCACCATTCTCCTTCCTGAACCTTTACATTTTAGCCCTTTTCACATCATTTTATTTTATGCTGTTACACACAGACTTCATTCAGTGCATTTTGCTCCTCTTTTCTTCCCTACCCCCTTGGCTAATCCTCTGCCAAACATTGCCTGCTTAATTTATCACATATTCACTATCCATTACAGTCAACTGGCAGAAATGATTTTTCCAAACCATTGCTTTGCTATTTTTAACTTGGAACAAACTCTTCTATTTAACAAATATTAACTTGCTCTTTGCGGGAACTTCAGTATAGCTAAACTTGGTTGGTTATAGTCAATTAACTCAAACCCAAGTAATTAAACTATTTTGTAATTGTTTTTTTTCTCTCTCTATCTTTGTGGGTGAGTGGGTGGTGTGTATGAATGAGAGAGAGAGAGAGAGAGAGAGAGAGAGAGAGAGAGAGAGAGAGAGAGAGAGAGAGAGAGAGAGAATAGAATTATAAAATAAATATTTTTCTCTACATGCAAGGGTGATATATCGTAGGAGGATACAGTAAAATCTATCCCCTTCCTTCCTTCCTTCCTTCCCTAGTTTTATTTGTCTAACTTAATTTTTTTTAAGTTAGTAGACTTGGGATTATTCTGAAATCATCAGAAAAAAGAAAATCTATTTCAAAGTGGCCTTTAGCTTGGAAATACAACATGAGATGGCACATCCAGTGCCAATGAACTTCTGCTGGAACATAATGACGTCCTCTACTTTTGAGAATGTTTTTCTGCATAGACTCCAGGAAATGGCTTTGATTTCCAATTTTTATTGTTTCAATAGAAGTGGATATCTGTAGCTCAGGTTTTAATTGTGGAGTTCTTGGTGCTCAGAGATCATCAATTGCTCCACAATTTTACTGTTTACAACAAACCATTTCTGCCTAAGGGATGAAGATGTAATCATTTTCCTTCAATTATTCACAACTACTTTTCTTCTCCATTAGTAACTACATGACAAATGAGACATAAAACTCTACGTTATTAGTTCTCAGCATTAGAATAAATTTGGATGTACATATTCTTCCAGTCCCCAACATACAAACAATCTTCTTACGAACAGGTTATGTTCTAAGATGCTGTTCGTAAATCCATTTTGTTCATAAGTTCAACCAAGCATATTTTTTAAAAATGCATGGTACAGTTCTTACCTTACATAACTTAAGTCTCATTTCTTCTCCACCTGATCAACTGCAGACTAACCTTAACCCTCACGCCCTCTAAGCACCAGCAAATGTCTCGACTTCCTCCCAAGGGTGCATCTTCCCAACCAGTGGAGGGAGATCAGCTCTGGGTCCAGAAATCCTTTACTGCATTGATCCACTGCAGCTTTGGCCACCAGCTCTAGGGGCTGGCCAATTGTTCCATGGGGACTGTCATTGGGGAAAGGCCATTGGCAAGACAAAGACAATCAGGTGCTGCCATCCTGTGTCACCCATGGGCAGAGGACTAAGGTATATACTGGTTGGTCTTGATGCTATGAACAGCTGCCAGCCACTCTTCGCTGTGCCATTCTCCGTGGGAATAAGGGGGAGGGGTGAGTTTGATCAAGGTTCCCAGGGACAAGAGGCCCCTGGCCCCAGGTCCCTTTGACCATTTTCTTGTGCAGCCATGTTTTCCCACCATAAGCCTTTTTGTCTGCATGGTGGCTTGACTCCCCTCCCTCTTTTCCATGTGATCGCGTTTCTTCCTAGGTCAATATTCAAATGGAGCAAACTTCTCTCCATCCTGGTGACTTTTTCCCATCCTGGGGGGCTTGAACCCTCTTTTAGACTCTAGTTGGTCAAGGCATTCTGCCAGCCCTGCACTTTAGGAATGGGCCACAGCCAGCCTTCTTGACAGTAGACTTGCGGGGTGCCATAAACTAAGCCTTTGATGCCTTCTTCTACCTTCAAGGACCTTCTTCTACTTTCAAGGACCTACAAAAGTTTGTAATTCGAAAGTTCATAAGTAGGGAACTGTCTGTACTAGCCATTTCCAACCATGGATTATCAACCTCTATATTGTCTGGGAATTGTTGTGTGCAGGGTGCCAATTTGGGTAAAACTGGCAAAACCAATGCTGCATATCCAAATGGAGTCTGCATATCACCTTGCGTAAAAACATGGTTGGGGGTGTGTGAATAATTGTTTTTGTGTTCTAATCTGAAAGGAATATAAATCTTTTAGTCAAGGTTTGGAATGTGTATATGTAATTCCTTTCTCCTGTTTGCTTTTAATAGTTTCAGACAGAGGGAAAAGAAGTGGAGAAATTTTGGTTTCTAACAAGAATAACTGATATTATCTAAAACAAAAGAGGGGAAAATATTAACAATTCTTATTGGCTGGAAGCCTTTGAATGTACTGGATTTTGTGGCTTTTCAGCATATCATTAAATGTACTTAAATGAGGCACTGGAAATACTGAGGATCTCCTAGCCTGTATAAAGATTCCCTAAATAATTTTCATGCTGTCCTTTTCTTGCAATGGGAAAGTCTTCTCTAGACATGCAGATTTTGGAGGCATTACTAAAATGGCAAATAGACACAGCTAATGTTTTTTAAATCAACAGATAAAGCTACCATTATTTGGATAAAAAAGAGCCAGATAACCACTTGGTTTCACTAAATAGTTTTCTCTTTGCTGCATCTTCTGGTAATCTAATAGTGGCTAAGATGCTGGCTTATAAACTAGTAGACAGTGAATTCTAGGCCTCCCTTAGGCATGAAAACGAGCTGGGTAACTTTGGGTCAGCCACTCTCTCTTAGCCCAATCCACCACGCAGTTATGTAGAAGAAAAGGTAGAATAAAAATCTAATAATTATAATCTGAATTTTGGCAGTCAGATAATGATAATCCTACCAACAAAAACCAAGGTTTCAAGCTTGCCAAACTTCCCAGTTGTAGAATTTGAAAAAAAGACAATCATTTTAATATTCTAAGCCACCCAGAGTTACCACGTGGTAAAATGGGTGGCTAATAAATGTAAGGAAACAAAATTTTAAATTACAATACAATTCACACAAAACATTCCCCTCCTGCTGAGAGAGTTAAATATGCTTGTGACTGTGACTGTGATAAAAAGTGTTCCTGCATAAACCTATTTCTCAATGAACTGGAAAATATGTTTCTACTGCACATTTGAACTAAACAGTCACATTTCTGAAGGATATTATCAACATTTAAAATGAAGCTTTCCGTAACCCATATTAACCATAGCAACAAATTCTGAACAGATGCCTAAAGGCTGTTTTAAGACTAACAAGAGAAATAAGTTGAAACATAGGATGGGCAAAGTAGCGATAAGATACCATGGCTGGGAAATCTATGACCCTGAACAGAGGTGTATAATCAGTTTTACATGAAGCTAGACTTCTGAAGTCTAATATCATTACTGCAGGTGGAGAGCTTGAATGATGGATTTAATGCCTTCAGTGGAGATACAAATTTTATTTATAATCCACAGTAACTCTTATCACCACTGGCTAGTGTGCCAATATGCACATATTGGGAGAAGGCAGACCTTACCATAATTATAGTACATTTCTTTTTAATTATATCCAGGATACAAAATGGGAAAATGAAAAGTGTGTTAATCTATGGTACTTAATGACCTCCAAATGCCTTCAATTATAACTCTCATTAACTGGGTCTAGCAGGGCAAATAATCAAAGATTTTGGGATTTATGGGAAGCTGGTTCTAAAACTTTTTACTGTTAACTATGGCACTGCGGGTTAAAATTTTTACATTTATTCTATGCCAAGAACTGGTTCACCTAAAATGTTAATCCCATGATTTACTTAACATCATGTGCAGCAGCCTGCAAATTCTATGTGGCTGGCAAAACCCTTTTTGTATCATTCCTGAATCTCCCAAAATTATATTGCTAAATTTCAATGGCCAAGAAACAGAGGTACAATTTCCTGCTAAAACAAGATAAAAATATACCGTAAGCCTGCTTGTAGGCTTAATACACCAAAATCCAATTAACAAATGAAAATAAACATTAAAAAATAAAAATATAACAACTTACCCATAAAATGTGAGGCGAAGGAATCCAATGCGCTGCCCGAGCTTCAGAATTTCTCCCTGTTTAATAGCAGCTCCCCTTAGTAGCACAATTCCCACCTTTTTAAGGGTAACCAACCACTTGTATGCACTTTCATCACTGTGCAATACCTCTTCAAAGTCCATAGTAGGGAGCTCAAGATCAGAACCCCAATACTGGCGCTCTGCATAAGAAATATATAAAACAATTATTATGAATTACTTTTATTATTATTACAGAGAATTTCATTTTATTCTATGTTGATCAGACTTCAACTTGGGTTTCGTGTTCAGTTTTAGGTATCATATTATAAATTCCAAGAAGGGGGAAGAATCAGTTATATGAAGGGTGACTGAAGTAATTTGGTAATATGTACACTTGACCAGAGGAGAGTAAGTGGAGGACTTTTAAATCCTAAAATGTTGTTAGAAAGATTTAAGACATCTTTTCCATCATTCTGTAGAACGGGACGCAAAATAATGGATTCCAGTTATAGGAAGGCAGATTATAGGTCAATATTAAAAAAAAATTCTAGCAGATAATGGAAGGAATTCGTCAGAGAACCAGGTTGATATGTAGTTAAGACCTTCACTGTGGATGAATAGCCACCAATCTGATGTGCATAACTGAGATATAGAATCATAGAAAGCTGACAGCAGAAAAAGACATTGTGGTCCATCAAATCTGCCCTTTGAGTTGTTTGTTTTCTTCTTAATTTATGTATTTATTATTTTTAATTATTATTTTTATCTTTATTTATTTTTTAAGTTTGTCAGATGAGACCTGGGTAAGCAGAGGGAGATTGCCCTACTTGCAGTTATGTCCACCTGGCTCTTGAGTTTAAAATAGCTGTGCCTCCAGGGAGAGGGTGGAATGAATGTCAGTGGTCATTCAGGAGGTCTCATGGACATTTAGAGGTGTTGTTTTGAATGCACGATTCTTTGGCTGAAGCTCAGCTGTAGGGAGAAGTTGGAATTGTGGCTGTTATACTAGCTTCCCTGCTGTGTAGTAGCATCTCTGCCTGAATGGATAAATTTCATCTCCAAGTTGGCATGGAAATCCCAAGGCTTGTTGCTTTGGGGGACTTCAAATTCCCCCTAGGTGAAGCTGAGGCTAGGTCAGCTCAGGAGTTGACATCTACCATGGTAACCATGGAGCCACCCACATAATTGAGAGCTTGACATGTACCAGAGGTCACATACTAAATCTGGTTTTTATTTCGGGGCAATGTGCATTTGGCTCTTGACGATGTTACAGTTAATCTTTTGCCATAGTCAGATAACTCCTTAATTTGTTTTTTAGCCTACTAATGCTACCTCCTCCAGAAGGAAAATAGGACCTATTAGATTAATCTACCACAGACAATAAACCCTGCTGGCTTCCAGAAGAAGCTTGGATATTTTTTTTCTTAAGGATCTGATGAGCATTTTAGCTGAGACTTTGATCATTGCCTGTAACAGGGGCCTTTGGTTGAACTGCTGCCCTACGGCCTCTTATTGTTTGCTGATCCTGGAGAGATGCTTAGAACTTGCTGGAGGAAGATGAAGAGCAAATCAGAGCACAAACAGGATCCCATATTAGCAATTACATTGTGGCAATAAGAGCAGCAAAACATTATTTTTCTACTATTATCATGTCCACAAATAGTCATGCAGATTCCCCTTTTTAAAATGATCCATACCTTGCTGGGGAAGAACGAATTACAGGACCATCTGCAGAGTGACTGTGAAGAATAGTGGCGAATAAAGTTTTAAGGATTCACTTGAAGCATTGTGAGTCTTAATTAATGTTGGAAGCAAGGTCTTACATGAGTAGCTGAGATGAATTTGAACCTTAACTCAGGGGTGTCAAACTGCCAGTCCGCGGGCTGGATGCGTCATGCCGAAACCACACCCACCTCATTGCCAGCAATGGAAAAAAAGTCGCGATACGTTGTGACACGTCACGTGACGTTGCGAGTTTGACACCCCTGCTATAACTCCTGAGGAGGTGAACAGTATCCTTGGATTGGCTAATATGACCAGATGCTTATTATATCCATGTCCCTCCTGATTGCCTAAGGGTGTCAACTCAAGAGGCTTTGCTGAAACTAACTTGTATTGCATCATTTTCATCCCATTTCCAACCTGGCCTTTTAGAGAAGGTTGAAAAAGTGATTAGGCTGTGATTAAAGAGGTCCCTGGTAGAAATTGATATAGCTGAACCCCTCCCAGTTAGATTTCAGGCTTGGATATAGTAGTGAGAAGCTCAAGTTGCTCTTGTTAATAACTACTCAATTTGATGAATCCAGAACAGGAGAGCAACAATAATTACTCTGTGGTTTTCAACAACATTGAACATGGGACCCTCCTGGTCTACCCACAGGGTTTAGGAATGGATACTTAATGTTGCAGTCTTTCACTTACTATCTCTATGGTTGGCTTCAGTTGGTTTGATAGGAGGGAAGAAATCAAGTCCAAAGTGTCTACTGTGGGGGATAATTCTCTCCTCTTCTGTTTAACATTTACCATCAGATGAGGATATTCACTGATTTGTGGTCATATATAATCAATATATGGAGGATACTTAAGATTCCAGACTAGGCAATAGTGGAGATTGTTGGAAGGAACAGGTTCAAGCACATCCCTGACAAAATCTATTAATTAATAATTGGGTTTTGGACGCTACAGAGATGGGAATTATTCATCTTTAAACCTGCCCCCCTCAGAAGTAGTGCACAATTAGAAGGTGGGAGTTTGGTTATTAAGGTCTTCATTTAAGTCCATCTTGTATGTCAATTATGCCCTTATCTGGACTGGGAGGCCTTTCAGATCAGCACTCACACATTGGTCATCTCACATATGTAGGATGGCAATGTGCTCTAGTTGGGGGTACCCTTGAAAACTACATGGAAGCTGCAACTAATACAGAATGCAGTGGCATAGGTAATTAGGGGCATGCCATGTCGTGCTCATTTAACACCTTTGCTACATGAACTGCACTGGTTTTCAATAGATTCCAGGTGCAATTCAAGAATTGCTTATTACCTATCAAGTTCTTCATAGCACAGGGCCTGGATAGCTGTTTTGTGTAGTTTCTGCTCAGATGAAATAATCAGAAATAGTAGATATGTGCCTGTCTCCTCCAAAAAACAGTCATCTAATGGGACCTAAGAAATGTGCTTTTTTTGTCACAGCACCTGCCCTCTTCAATACCCCCTCCCCCACTGAGTTTTATCTCGTGTGCACTCCATGTTTAAAACAGCCTTGAAAACTTGGGTTCCCCCCAAGCCTTGGATTAGAGTGTTTGGCGGGTCCTGTGTATTTTTCCATTTGGAATTGTTGTTTTTTGCAGACATTTGGAAATAGTCCTTACAGAATTGGACTGCTTTATAAATGTAATGGAAGATTAATAAAATACATATAATAGGAATAGTAATTCTTTAGTAGCACTCAGTTAGAAATAATAAAGCAAATTAAGGCAGACTGAAAGCAGTGGAGTAACATTGCAAGATTAGTATGGAACAAGTCCCGTTCTGAATGTCAGTGGTGAACAGACATAAAAAGAACTGACATTACTGAACAAAACAGTTCTACGTTAACTCTTTATGTAGAACTAGCTGATTTCAGAAGAGCAGCACCTTAAGAGTGATAAACTATTCTAATATGCAAAGAATCTAGTCTACATGAAAGGTACCATGTGACTTGTCTGTAGTGACAGTGGTGGAACAGCCTCCCCACTAAAATTTAGAGGGCTCCTACGCTTTTGGCCTTCCAGGAAGCCATGAAGACCTGGTTCTTCACCCACGAAGTGAATTGAGGCCAGCATATACGCAGCCAATGTGAAGTTGTTATGGTATCTTGGATAGTGTAATGAGATTTAATTTGGGGGGGGGAGTTATACTTGTATTGTTTAGTATATTTATATTAGTTTGGTTGTTGTTAGCTGCTCAGGGTTATATTGTGAAGATGGGTGGCCCTATAATGCTTTTGAAATAAATAAATGACTCTTTAAAATGGCTATTGTTCTATTTCCCAAATACCTAGAAAAATTGCAAAGTTCCTCATCAGGAACTCTCACAATGTGGTTGTAGCCCTTTGCAACCTCTCATGAAATGACACAGCTGGGGGAATTCTGCCTGCCAAAAGGAAAAGCTTTTCTTGTGGTTAAAAATACAGAAAAGGGCTAAATTTCAAAAGTAACATTAGGGAAATTTCTCAGGATAGCAGTTACTCTTTTAAACTGTGTATATAATGTTGCAAGATGTAAATAACTACAAACTTTTAAGGAAAATCTGAAAAACTCTTTGCATTTTACAAACAACCTAAAGTATTGCCTAACTCAGAGATCGGCAATCTTAAACACTCAAAGAGCCATTTGGACCCATTTCCCACAAAAAAAAAACCACCGGGAGTCACAAAACTCTGTTGCTTCCCTCCCCCCAGCACTCCACCACTGCTGCTGCTGCGAAGTGCCCTGCCGCCACTTTTCCCTACCTCCCCCACGCGGAGTGCCCTGCCGCTGCTTTTCCCTACCTCCCCTGCGCCAAGTGCCCTGCTGCCACTTTCCCTAGCAGCGATGGTGGAATTTGGGAGGCAGCGGCCGGGCATAGCCCAGGCATGGCCCAGCTGCAAAGCTCGTCCTCCCCACTCAAGGCCCAGCAGCAGGATTGCTCTCAATTAGGCGGGCGCACACGAGTGAGCAGCACACCCGGCTCTTATTGTTTGAGTGCAATCCCGCTGCTGCGCCTCCGCTTTCTTCAACCATGATCCCCCCCTCCCCAGCCAGCCAGCTTTTCGTGAATTTAACATGGACATAAAAATGTTTCACCACCTTTATCAATATTACAAAGAAAAGTTTAAGAACTTTAATTGTGCTTGATCAGGTTCACTCATTTTCCTCCAGTCACTCTCTTGGCATCTCTTACTCACTTCATCACCCTCTGAAAGTCAGAGGACTCACAATGATCCACACTCATAGAGAGGATCCTGCAATCTAATCTGAGCTGTCATAACCTTTCTTTCCAGCAGGATTATAGCAGGTTATTCTCTATCTCTCTATGTCTCCATCTCTCTGTCTCTGTCTCCCTCTCATTACAATGTTCTCTGCTTTTAAAATATTTTTATTAAGGATTATAAATGAAAAGAGTAAAAGCCGGTGCAAACTATAAAAACTACAAATAGAAAAATAGAAAAGAAAAAAATT